AAATGAAGATTTTAGTTACCTGACCACAGGTGTTTCTCTAATGACATATTTTAGAACTAAATTAATTAGGATAGATGAAAGGGGACCATCTGGTTTCAAACCAGAACGAATCTCATACTTCTCGAGAAGTTATAAGAAATAAAAAAAATTGACATAAAGGATGTAGATACTTCACCCCTTTTTATCATAGGCAACTACATATTTTAAAAATATCACCTACTAAAATTTAATATATATCTAGTAGTAAGGCAGGAAGTATTCAGTGTGGGAAAAGGAGGCGGTTTCTCTGGAAGGTAGGATTGAGAGGGAGCAAATTTGAGATCTTTTTTTTTAGCTGAAGTAAAAATATTTCTTTATAATCTTTGGTTCTTTTGACCTAATTACGATATTAATTATATACATATTCGTCCGGTGATTTTTCGCACTTATAAAAAAAAAAAAAAATGCAGGCATTTATTTATCTCTGTTTAGTAAGAAGTGAATTTAATTTATAATTTTAAAAAACCAGAATCAATTACATTTAGGCCAGAAATAAACAAAAGTAATTTACAGGAGTTGAGGGCCTATCAGAGTTAATACTGTCTGATGATATTTATTCCGAAATATTTTTTTTAAAATACTGATATAAAATGCAACAAAATTTAGTTTGTCCCTTCTGGCAAAGTTCTAGTACCGGTCCTGATTAAATGATGCAGTGGTGTAAATAATACCGATGCGACGTATCACGGTGCAGAAGCTGTGTGAGGGACAATGCAAAGACATTTCAATAAAATATAACAAAAATCGTCCTTTAAGCATTTTTTTCGTTTATTTATTTATTGAGTATTACAACAATCTGTCATTTGGACATTAGATATAGTAAGTTAGGATAGTTCACACCATATATATAAAAAAAAATACAAAATAAATAGAAGCAAAATAACAATAAATAATAATAAAAAAGAATAAACAATAAATAAAATAAAATAACTTAAAAATAAGAAAATTAAAACAAAGCTAAAAACGCATGCATACCTATATACACCATTTACAATCAGGCGAGGGAACTCCGAGGCAGGCTTGTCCCTCCAACTATGGAGGGAAAAGGTGGACTCCAGGAGAGTGCTAAAGCCAGCAGAGATTGATCGAAATCGCTTTAGCCACATACACTCATGCCTATCTACAATATACAAATTGTCGCGGGGCAACTGCCGTTTCAACCTTCTTGGAGGAGGGGTGGTGCTTGATAGGGATTATGAAAGAGGTTTTGGATGATATGTAAGGTTCTGGTGAAATTTGGAGAAATTTTCTGGGATAAGATCTAAGACAAATAGAATGTTGAGGTCACGGTGTAAGGTTTTGTAGGTTACATAGAAAGGAGCATCGGCTATTGTTCGAAGAACTTTTGACGTTTTCAATAGAAAGTGCAGATTTTCTGTTTAGCAGTCTGTATAGTTGGCCGTATCGTCTGTTAGGTTTTTGTCTTTTAAGTATAGTATGAGGGTTATCCACGTATAGTATGAGGGGATCCACGTTAGTCGTCTGTCTAAGAGAAAACCAAGATAGCGGACTGTAACTGAAAAAGGAAGCTGGATGATATTAAAAAACTGGTGGACAGAATTTACCGTAAAGTGTGAAGGTAATGTGTTTACATTTGAATTCGTTTATCTTAATGCGCCATTTCTTACACCAGTATTCAATAAGGGATAGGTGCATTGGTATGTTTAATGACGCTGTTTTAGGAATTGAATTGGTTGAAAGGATAGCGGTTTCATCAGCGAATGTTGCCAGGATTGTATCGGGATGGACAAGAATATCTGCGGTGAAAAGAATGTAAAGGATGGGACCCAAGACGCTGCCCTGCGGAACTCCCGCCTCAATTAAATAACAGTTGGAGAATTTAGTATCACAGCGAACTTTAAAGGAGCGGTCAGAGAGGTAGGATCGTAGTTTTAGATATAAGGACTGTGGTATATAAAATTTAAGCTTAGCCACATATAAAAGTCCAGCGTGCCACACAGGGGCAAAAGCCTGTCCAGAAATGCTCCCGAACAATATTGCTTCTTTTCTAATGCTGAGGATATATGGTCAACAACTCGGAGTCCTTGTTGGACAGAGGAATGTAGGGAACGAATTCCGAATTGATGGATTGGAATTCTATGGGATTCTATTATGGGTAAGATTATTTTCAGTAGGATGTTTTCAAAAAATTTTTATAGTATTGGGAGTAGGCTAATTGGTTCATAGGATGATGTATTGTTGGCAGGTTTGTCTGATTTCAGGAAAAGGACGATGGTGGAATGTTTCCATAAGAAAGGAAAGTGGGTAGTTCTTAAGATGCAATTATAAATATATGTAAGGAATATGATAGCTTTGGGTGGAAGTTGTCGAAGGATCTGTGGGGTTAGGAGGTCGTATCCAGGAGATTTATGAGGAGTAATATTGCGTAAAAGGTATATTACCTCAGATGGATTAACTGCTTTAGGTGGTAAGGAGAGTGAAATCGGTGAAGAGAGGAATTCTTCTAATTTTGTGGTATGGGTTGGATGGGATTCTGGATGAGGACTGATTGTAGAGGTGTCTAGCGAATTCCTTATATTCCTTCATCGACGGAGGGGGTTGGAAATGTAATGGAATTTTTTGGTGTTTTTTCAGAGGGAATCATGATGAACAGAAGTAAGGTAGGAATCAAAGGATTGGGATATGAAGGATGATAATTCTTGCTTTAATAGTTTACAATAATAATTGTAGGAGTCATAATAATTGTAATAATAGTTGCGATCGGTGGGATGTTTGGTACGTTGCCATAATAATCTGGCACGGCGTTTGGTGTGGATTAGGTCGGTGAGGTGTTGGGGTAAACTATTTTTCTTAGGGTTCTTGAGGAATGATTTGGAGAAGAAGCTGTCTATACTGCTTGTTGAATGGTGGTGGTAAAGGAATGTACGGCATTTTCAAGGTCTTCTGGGGTTTTCAAGGTTATTCTGAGGTCAATTTTATAGGAAAAGGGGTGATAAAGGAGTTTCCAGTTAACTGGGACTCTGATGAAGGATGGTGGAGAGAGTTTAGGAATGGGAGCTAGAGATAATCGGAGTATTGATGGACTATGATCTGAGGAAAATTCATCAAGTCGGTTAAGGGAATGATTGACCGGACCTAAAACCACTGTGGATAAAAAAATCGAGGATATCAGGATTGCGGTTAGGATCAGTTGGCCAGTAGGTAGGTGAGTTGGGAGGAAGGAGGCTGAAACTTTAAGCATTAATTATTTATTTATTGTAAGTTTAAAAGCGGATTTTAAAAATGCTGCAATCCATAATGTTCCGATTAATAGAGTGTAAATACACTTTCATTCAGTGGCATTAAAACAAATTCCAGGTACTCATAGTAAATATATATTTCCAATAAAGTCAATACTACACGAAAGAAATCGCTAGTAACAGCTCGTTAAAAAATAAAGCGAAGATTTTGATGATCTATCGGCGTATTAATTTATTACAACAATTAGGACAGCAAACTTAGGAATCACGGAAAGAAGTATAAGGCTGCTGTCTTGTTTCTTATCTTTATATAAATTAAAGTAAAATCACATTCAACCATTGCTTTAAACAAACTCACCTTAATTGAACTTTGTTAAAAGATACTTCACTTCTGAAACGTCTCACTAATTAAGATTTATTGATTCACTAGATATGCAATTAATTATTAGAAAATGATTCACTAGTTCACTTTATCGGTATCCCATATGGCTAGGGTCCAACATTTGTTGCTCTCAGACTTCCAAGCAACAATACAATTATTATTAAAATAAAGTAGCTGATACGGCGGACGGTTATACATGCAGAAGGTCGGTTATCTTTTTTTTTTCATTTCATAATCTACATATTTGGCTGGATCCCAAATCCCTATCAATCGTCATCAATTATGGCCAAAACAAATTCAACACAAACATAAAGTGGCCAGAAAAAGTTTTCACACCCGAATTGATTTAAAATATAAAAATCAATGAACACAATTCCTTCCTCAGTATTTTTTTGTTAAAACGTCTCAATATAACTTTAATATAACTCGTATTATTTTTACAAAAAAAATTGTCCAATAATAAATACATAAATAGATATTTATGTATAAATAATGCAAGAAACGTTTTCATACTATACAATAATATATCGTCGGTTTATTGAAAAAAATATACGAATTTCAACTTTATTTACCGATACACAAACACAATAAATTCACGAAAATGTCACCTTTTATATAGCAAATATAGTTACATCCAGCGCAACAATTTTGTAATTTGATAAAGGAAAAATCCTTCAAAGTTCTTAATTATGTAAGGTTGTGAAATGTCAATTAATGACTTATTGCAATAAATCGACAATATTTATACATTTTAGTCAAAATCTTTCAATTGATATTTGAATGCAGTCCTTAGATTTTAGTAATATTTTAAATCTTTTAGGTATTGATGGGGTCAACTTCTAAGTCAATTAGGAGAGTATTTTTCCCGATTCTTCCAATAATTTAGTTTTAAGATACTATACTGACGCTATATTTTCATTTCTGAACAGTGAATTAACACGAACCCATAAGTGTTCGATGGGATTTAAACCTGGACTCAGGAGAGGAGTTTCATGTTAATTTGGATGGTTATATAGAAGTCCTTCCCTTCTTTATCTTCCTCTTATGTGCCTTTCAGCGCAGAGGTTTTGTGCCTTTCTCGTGTGTGGATATCATGGGGCTAAGAGTTATTATACTAGTAAAATTTTAATGTTGGTTCTAAACCCATTTTTGACGTACTAGGCTTGACAATCTACTAAAAGAAAATCAGAAAAAATAGAAAAGCAGGTGGACTAAATATGATTCGAAGAATATTAAAACAATAGAATTTAAAGCGAATGTGAATTTAGATGTTTCACAAAGGATAACCCCTTATATATGAAAGAACTAAATCCATTTGAACTGCAGCCTGGGATTCTTTAGCAGTCCCTTAATTGTGTGGTCCTCAGTCTGCGCCTCAATTAAGACTGCCATTCCATCAGGAGCGTCGATTTTTCCACTATTGATAACGCGTCGGCATCATTATTCTTCATTCCTGCTACGTAAGGAATATCTGTAGAGAATAGGCTGGTGAAATTCCTCCACCTAATTCGCATAGGAGTGGAGATTTCCGTCTTCTACTGGAACGCAAATAGAAGTGGCATACGGTCCACGTATATTGTAAAGTGACGGTCTCTCGACCTAAGAGCATAAATGTATTACCTGGTAGTTGGCCAAAAGCTCGCGGTCATATGCTGAGTAATTCCGCTGCGCTTTGTGGAGTACTCTGAAAAAAAAAAAACCAAGAGGGTACCAGACGCCGTTCTTTTTACTGAAACGTTCCTCAAATAGCTGCTTGAAGCGTCACTGACCTGTACAAGATCAACTTGTAAAAAAAATTGTTTTTCACAAAAACTTGGTTATATTTTACCATTTAAGGGAAGGAGAGGGTGGGTTCAGCCCGAAAGCCCCCTCCCCGTAGATCCGCCTATGCACCGGACAAGTATTGATTCCAGCCAGCCGAACCTAGTACAGTGTATAAGGATAATGTATTCAATGACTCCGCCAACAAATAATTATCTGTCCAAAGGTCGTCGAATAAGAATAGCGAATAAAAATGTATCTATTATACGTTATCTAGATAAAATTTCAAATAATGTATTCGAATAACGCCCAACACTGATATACATATATATATGTTAATAAAATTTAATTTTTTAGTTTATGATGTAAAATATCTTATGAAATTTATCTTGTATTGTGGTTCAAAAACATTTCTGATATTAAATATCCTTTTTCTAATTAATTAGATACAATTTTTAACAAAAAACACCATTTAATTCCTTTGTATCGACTTTTGTCCCGCTAGATTGCTCCACCGTGCGAAAGTCTCCTCAATAATAGGGGTGGAAAAAATTATGTTTTCTCTCCTCCTCTAATATTATGATCTCCAAAATTGAAAAATCCTCTTCTTTTGACTTTAAGCAGCCGTAATCCATGGATCTGAACTGATATGTTCATGAGGTAAGTTGTGGCATAAAAATGTTTGAAGGGAACACATTTTGAGTTTTTGAGAGAACACATATCGATGGAGTTATGAATTTTAGGATTAAAAAGTTTCATACCCGGTAGATACCGGAAACCATGGGCCATACCAAAGCAAGGGAGATTTTATAGGACTTAAATAATCACTTGAAGACAATTTCATACTTTTTTCCGAAGTAATTATACTAACATATTTATGTATCTATTAAAAAGCCCCTCCCCCTAAATTAAATTCTGGGTCTATTAGTGGTTGTTGATATTGATTATAAACGTGTGTATAAGCAAAAAATTTAATCATAGAGTTTCTGCTTTGTTCTATTGAATTAGTTCATAGATCCTATCATATACACTGAGCATCCAAATGAATACAAAACTTTTCTCCTGTGTCCATATTTAAATCCCATGGAACACTTATGAGTTCCTGAGGCCAGAAGGGGTTTCATTCTAAATTGTTTATTAGCAGTTCACAAATGAAAATATGTCAGCAAAATTTCATAAAACTAAATTGTTTGAAGAATGAGGGAAAATACCCTCCCAATTGACTCCATCAATGCCCAAAAAACTTGAAATATAACTAAAATGCTAAGAATTGTATTCAAAATATCAACTGATATTTTTGACTAAAATAAATAAGTACATAATATGAACATGTATACAAATTTTATTTCATTAACATTCTCATTTTATAGTTAATTTCTATTTAAAATGTATGCATTTATTATTAGAGAAATATTTTTGAATAATTAAAAAAGTTAATGAAGTTACATTTGAACATTTAAATAAAAAAAACATGTAGGATTGAATGTTTTTTATTGATTTTTCATTTTCAATCCATTAATCTTTTGCTGGCTACTATATGGGTATAATAGGAGTATTTGGATAATCAATGTTTTTTAATAGTTTTTAGAGAGCAAAGGAATTGAAATTATATTGCAAAATATTAATTATAGCAGTTATTTTTGGATGCTAATCTCTTCTGAAGATGAATATCCTGTAGATCCAGCCAAAAAAATCCATATATTTTATTCTGACTTAAATACATTTTGAAACCTTAAGTTTATAACAATTTCTAATACTCTTAACTAATAGAAATTTTTTGCTCCTTCCAATGGCATTTTGTGAGTCCATTTATGGAAGATATAAAAGGATTTTAATGAAAAAATTTTGAGAATTCCGAAAACATTGATATTTATCGGATCATGATTAGGTAATTAAGACATTTTGTCACATTTGACATGCAGATTCAGCCTATAAATTTTCCTATTTTTTATGAGGCATACTATATATATAGGGATGATTCTACAATATCATCTCTTTTGTTAGAATTTTTGTATTGATGATATTGATGAATGATTTTCTCAGGAGAGTAACATGCCTTGAAAAGTCTTTTAAAAGCTACACAAACTAGAGTTTTGTGAATTAAACATCCATTAACACTTAGAAGGGAAGTAAAAAAAAACAAAAAAAAAAAACATAAAATACAAACATTCATGAAAAAATTTAATAACTCTCTTAATAAATATGAGACTCTAAAAACTGTAATTACAACTTAAAGGAACTAGTTTTTCTGTAATAGCACTTTTGGATTCACATTATGACCAATGAATAACTAAATGCACTTCATGAGGAGTTTCAAAAACGTTATTCACTTCCCAACAATAGTACTTTAGTTAAAATGACATTTATCTGGTTAAAAAAGACTTTGGGTACCCAGATGAATGACACTGTATACTAAAACAACACTTGGTGGATTTTTTTTTTTAACAAAATAAAAACTATTCCGACAAATAGACAAAAAGCTTCACAAAACTGATAAAGAATTAAACTTTTACTAGTTTTTTTGGATCAAGAACCATAACCAGATAAATTGCATTCAATAACAACACAAATTCTGCTACACTGCAGTTGACCTTCTCTGGACCCATAGTAACTGAATTCTGCGAGGAAAATGTCATACGATATGAATATGGGAATCGATTATGGTATTTCTTGCCTAAAAAATTTCCTATACCTCTTCGTGGGGTTGTTTTAAGAAAGAAACACACAAAGAGTAAAAATATCACTATTTTTTTTAGTAGCTATAGTTGTGAGAGTACACAACAAAAATATAAAATGATTTCCAACTATAAGTATATCCTGTAATAGTGTCCACAGATTTTGTGTCTTCAGGTGATAGCCAGACGAAGACAAACTAACTCTTGAATTTTTATTATTATGGGAGATATTTTGAAAGTATAAACAGTTTACAATAAAAATGGGCCATGCTCTACACTAGATTTTATTTCAATTATTACTTTTTTAAAATTTAAAGCTGTTAAAAAATGGAACGAAATAAAAAAATGCCACTTTTCGTAGAATCATCCATAGGTATATGTGTGTGTATGAATGTAAATATATATATATATATATATATATATATATATATATATATATATATATATATATATATATTATATATATATATATATATATATATATATATATAATGTTATTAATATATATCATTATAAAAACTAATATTATGGAAGAATCAATTCTTCTATAGTATTAATTTTGATAATAATTTATATTAATAACATAAAAAATATATTTTTTGTGTGTTACAAATGTGTAAATATTCTATGTCTTCAAGTAACATGTTTGCAATAATAAATAGGTTATGTTGGAAAGCTCCACTAGGATAAAAAACATTTGCAGAATAAATATATATTAGAAAAAAAAAACCTCATTATTCAACAGCTTATTGATTATTATTCATTTCCCCACAAATATCTTGAAATTTTCAGACCATAATGAAACAATTTTACATTCCAGTTTTTAAATCTCTTTACTTATTACATTATGTTTCATCAGAGAAATAAATTTATTATTAGTTTTAATATTAATCAAATTACTAACTTTTACCAATGGAGAAATTATTAAGATTATAAGGCGTATTAAAAAAAACATTTGAATTTTCATAAACATCTCAACACCGTTAATGGTTCCCACCCTCCCATTTTCAACTCAGGAATATTCTTCATTATTACACTATCACCTAGCCTTTTGATTATTTCCTTGATGATCCTCTTGTTTCAAGTGATGTCTTGACAGTTAACATCTCTTTCCTTCAGTCATTCCTGTTCTTTACAATCCTTCCTTTGCTCTAGAATGAAAATAATTTAAACAAAACTCAACTACCACATGGACAGAACTGTTATTTCATCAAAGTAATAGCTTGCATGCAAGACCTAAAATTTTAAACATAATATCTAAAAAAATAAATTAATCAAGCAGAGCCACAGCCAATATTTGGCTCACAAATTACTAAAGTTAATGGGCTTAAGGAGAATCAAAAAACATTAAAATAGTATTGTATAAAGGAAATCATTTGTAGAATATAAAATGAGCAACTAATATATAAATCAGAGAAAGAAATACTGGTCTAGGGAAACATACCAATAGATGGACTAACAAGTCAGTAACTTGGTACACTAAGGTATATAATTAAAATACTAAAATACAATAGCCTATATTTAAGCTCTCCAAAAAGTTTTAGCTCGATATTAATTATTTAGCACTTTACACAATGGTTCCCTAGATTACCTGTTTTCATATAATTTCTGATTTGTCTTTCTCACAAAACACAGCAAGGCCTTTTCAAGTATGTTATTTGTAATGTAAATATAACCCATATTTCTGAACCATATAAGGATCTGTGCAAATCTTTCAATTTGAAATGTAAACCAGGACGTGTTTAGACAAAACATAACAATTAAAATCAGTGAATAATCAGAACCTAAAACCATTCATCAATGCATGTAAATCAGGAGGAAAATGTTCCTAAACTGGAATCTCTTGCATTAATGATTGTCACCTTAGATCAAGTGATTTAAAGAACATTTACTCTACAATCACAAGGATAATTTTTTTTTCTACTATCAGTGATCCTAAAAATAAATGAGTTAGATAATGAGTAAATAGTTCAATAATGTTGGAAGAATTCCTTAGAACTAATTTAAACAAAAACTGTTTTATCCACTTGAATTCACGAATCCCCAAAACATTTGCATAAAGTCTAATTAAAGTGGATGGGAGCTAGATCACTAAATTGCCTCACATATTTCCAGTCTTCATCAACCTTTGGTATGCTTGAAGGGATCTTCATAGTGAATCTCATCATTTAAACCAGCGTTTTAGAAATCTTATTACCCAAAGCCTCATTTGAGTAGTTCTGATTAATGTGATCATATCTCCCTCTAGAGATCAACAAACAAATAGTGTTTTAAATTAACACCCATGACTTCATGAAAATGTTTTGAAGACATAACTCAGGGCAATGCATCCAATTTTTTTTATAGATAAAAAGGATATAAACTGACACTTAATTAGCAAAGAAGAGTATTGAAGGTATCCCCAAATTTTTTTATATGAACAGAGTAGAACATAAAACCATCTTAACACTTAATATGTTCATTTTGAATAATAATGTTTTAAAAGACTTTTTTGTTTTGTCTGCATTTTAACCATAATCCAATGCACTAGCGGATCCAGGATTTAATTTTGGGGGGACTTCAGCCCGAAACCTTTTTTTTTCATAAAAATAACGATAATTACTTTGGAAAAATAGAAAGAAACTAACTACCTATATGAAATGGTGTTTAAGTTATTCCTTAAGTACTTTTAAATGTAATTACACGAACAACAATACGTTAAGAGGTATTTTTAAATTTTTTTTCCCCATAAAACATGGTAATATTTTTCCACTTTTGGGGGGAGGGGGGGCTTCAGCCCGATCCGCCTGTGATCCAATGAAACATGTTAAGTATGAAAATTTCGTGTTTTATAAAATGAATTTATGATATAGAGATACTGCAAAGTACTCTGAATCTCAAGTATTTTAATACCCTTTGAGATAACTTCATTATTAATGTGATTTAATTGATATATTTTTTTAGTATTATGAAAGGAAACTTACAACAAACTACATTGGAACTATGTGACAATAAGGATGCCATAGTCAATTTGGCAATTTAAGGTAAAGTTTGACATCTTGATTGTAGACATGGCAACCTAAAATAATAATCACAAGTGGAAAAAGTGGAGAAAATACAAACTATTATTACAAATAAAATTTGTGTCAAGCATATAATAATACAACTGGTACTACAATGATGGTGCATTCATAGTTATAAAACTTTTAGGAACACTATGAAATAAATAAGCCTTAAAAAAAAAAAAAAGCTGATATTGAAACAAATTGATTACCTAAAGAAACAGAAACCTATAGATTGATTCCTGAAATTCTTATGGGATTATATAAAATACATAATAATCTCTGTAGAATAACAGGCCACAAACAAACAGAGAGACATTGTCAAAAACTAAATTAAAATTGCCCACAGTATTAAATCATTTGCCAAATCACTTGGAGTATTTTATCATTTTTTATTCAAAAACAATATTTCAGTTTGATTGATTAATACATATTACTTATAATTTCAGTCCAATGCAATCATTCCAATAAACTCCCTTTCCATTCCCTTTTCATTCATTTGTTATAAATGATCCTTCAAGAATGCAACTACTAGAATTATAAAAGGAAAGACAAGGCAGGTCATATACCTTTGTACTATTTCATATCATCCTCTAAAACTGCTCAAATAATCCTTCAAGATTAAGGACATAAATTAACAGCAATACTAAATCCTAAGCCAGAACAATGCACATGAATAACCAAAAGCAATAAAAAGATTTCATAAAATAAATAAAAAATAAGAAGCACTTATCCTTTTTTTAAAATTTTTTTTTAGACAAGAGCTCATGGTTAAGTAAACCAATATAAACAAATAATCAAATTGAAAAATGGAAGGATAGTGCTATGTAATAAAATGCTGTTTCATTGAAAAAATTAAATAAGTTAGTATTTAAACTAATTAAAATAACTCCATTTGAAAATTTCATTGAAATAGACTGAAAACTAATGAAATACGACAATAACTAAATAAATAAATAAATAAATATTCTTCTCATTATAACAATAATCGACTACTTCCTTCTAATGTATTTATAGCAACCTTAAGAAAAAGAATGTAGTTTTCACAAGATTCACGAGATAAAGGTAAACTATGCCGCACATGTCAGAGCTATTAAAAACATTTACATCTATGAAATAATTAAAAAATGTTGCATTTTACCATGAAATCAACATTTCAATGAACAACATATATATGGTTTGTGATATGTCATTTAGTCATTGTAAACCTCATACCTCTTTTACTTGAAAACAAAAATTAAGTTAGGTAATAATTAATAATTTAACCCTAAATTTTTCTTGGCTGATATACTTGACTTTAGAATTGAAAAAATAAAAAATAAAAATATCCTGAAATTTGTTAATTCTGTTTTATGCAATTTTTTAATCAATATTTCTTACAAAAAACAAGACATTTTTCCTATGTTAGAATATATCCCTTTAAAAACAAATAAAAAAAAAAGGTTGATTGGTCATTAAAAGCATTATTTTGATAAATATTCTTGGATTGACTAATAATTAAATACAATGTATTACCACTTATATATGAACCTGACAATAACTTCAGTTATTAGTGACTATATTATCAACTGGTTTTAAACCAAGCCAAATAAAATTAAAAAAGGATATTAGGATTTGAGAAGGATAAGTATCAAATCAACAATGTAAATAATACAAATAAAAAATAAATAACAAACAATATTTAAACATGAGTTTATACATATTCTGTAAATATACTTAATACAGTGATGAGAACTCTGTACAATAATTTTAATTAGATATTTTTAATTATAACTTTGAATTTAAGTTTTTAGTTTATTTATTATTATTTTTTAATATTTTTTTTTACAATTCATGGGTATTGTAGCTCTTGCCTTGTTTACTCACACACATATACATATATGTATACGTACACAGCTACACACACACACACACACACTTTCTCTTGTGTAAACATATATATATATATATATATATATATATATATATATATATATATATATATAAATGTGTGTATGTGTGTGTGTGTGTGTGTGTGTGTGTGTTTGTGTGTACACATACACCCACACCAACACACTCACACACACAAACATGCACGCTCACAAAATATTCAGATTTACAAACATACTTTTATAAATACACACAGACAAGTTTGGTGTGTGTATGTGCGCGTGTGTATGTTTGTGCGTGCTTGTGTGTGTGTTTGTGTGTGCCCTAACGGGTACACATAGGTGTGCACATTTACACACACACGCGCACACACACGCATTATTGCATGCATGCCAAGGTTCATATTCACAAAATCAAACTTCCAGAATACATACATACATTCATATAATCATAATGTACTTTGTTGCACTTTTCCTGATGATTTCTTATAAAGATTTTTTGTAGCGTTTATATTTTTCTTATTAATTTGTTGCATCGAGCGAGATTTTTTAGGGGGGGAAAGGGGAATTTTGAGTCCCCAAATCATTTATCTAGCAGACAAACAATCCTTAGAGAAGCTCATACTGCCGAAGGTGCATCCGCTGGATTATATCACGGCAGTCATTGAAGACACGCCTTATGTTCTCTGTGTCAACTGCACAGGTGAAATGAGGATAGCAGTAATGCTTACCATCTCCTGACGCTGTGGAGATCCTCTGTAAAATATAATAGTGAATATTAAAATAATGTCTCAAATTTTCAAATTACTTATAATGTAGTTAATGAATACCTCAGTATTGAGTATAATTCTTTTAGGTATATAAATAATAATTGTATGAAATCATACAAAAAGAATAATAAATACAGAAAGAGAAATTCTAATAGATATAAAAAAAAAAAACTGTGCCACTATAATCCATGAACGGTCCTTGGGTTCAGTACTTTGTGCTTCTAGGCCAGTTGTGCAAGAGAGTGATTTGGCCAAGACCAAGCTGTATTTTTCACTTAACTGATTAAGAATATTTTGTATAGTCTATAGCCACCTTATGGAGGCTAGATAAGCGAGGGTACAGGAGGGTTTCCCAATCTAAAGGTTTGTCGGTAACCTAAAGCTTGATTTAACAGAATAAATAATTATCTACAACAGTGGGACTTGATAGGGAGAGTAGTAGCACAGTACCTTACTCACAGGAGCTACTCCTGCCCAGCTACTGTTAAAAATAAAAAATGTAAACAAACGTTACAAATTTGCCTTCATTAAAATAGTAAAATGTTTTTTGCTTTCAGATTCCCTTTTTACTTTCATTTACTTATACATTAAATATATAGTAAAGGAAAGTATTGCGATTGTGAAAAAATTTGAATTCCAGTTTTTAACGGTAATACACATATTGAGGTTGCCTGAGTCCAAAAAACTAAATATCGTAATGGTCTGTATATGTGAGTAAAAAAATAAATAAAAATGCCCGCAATGAAATATAAAGAATATTTAAACTCGAATATAATATTCTTGCCAAATAAATATTTTAATAGTAGTGTTATTTTATTAATCACACACAGAGACCTAGATGTTTTGAGCCTAAAACATCAAAAGATGAACAGACCTATTTTTACTCAAAGCAGGATGGTAAGTGAAAGTTGTGTGGAGCACGCACCACACCAGATGTTTTGATATGCAGTACACCTTTATCTAATACCATCTTCATATGAATGGTGCGACTAAAGGGCCTAAATTTGTCAAGAAGGCTTTTCAGATCACTCTCATTCCTAGTTAACAAATCAAAATCATCCACATGAAAGAATGGGAAATCATTCTTGGGTTCTGAGATAAACTTAGCAAAATGCTTCAAGGATTTGCTGCCAAACAAAAGCTAAGTAGGCTCAGAGGTTTACACTGGAAAATTATGATTGATAGATCTTTATGTTGGACAATGGTGGTTTGTAAACAAGTTCATCCAGATACCATTTCATTGCTTCATAAAGCACTCTAACAAGCCGATTATGGTTCTGCCTATCTTATGGATATTTAAACATTCCAGAAACCAATCATGGGACATTGAGTCAAACATCTTCTGTTTGTCAATACATGATACTGATGTGCAATACTTCTTGACCTTTTACTTGAGAAACTATTAAACTGTAAATGACCAGCAATTCTTTACAACCCTTGGCATGTTCTCTTTTTCCTATCTGCTCATCAGCAATTAACTGTTACTCCTTTTTATGAGTTTTTAGTACTTTATTAATTACTGATGTGTAACCATTTGTGAGGGTGGAGTAGCTCAGTAAGTAAGGCACAATGCTCATGTTCTACCTAAAGAGTCTAGCTTTTACAGGTAATTATTTATTCTGCTACATTAGCTGTGGATTGCTCTTTGGGATGAAAGATCCTCCTGATCTTTTAACGCACCCAGCCTCTATTAAGTGGCTACTCTTAATTAATTAAGGAAAACTAAATTATCTCCTTGAACAACTGGCCTAGAAGCAATACTTTCTTACTAAGTACGGAACCCAAGACTATTCTTCATGAGTTGTAGTGTTACAGGTATTTTTAATTTATTTTTTCAACAACTGGTATATGTTTCATGCAGGTATACAATTGCAGTGAAATTCCTAGATTTGAATTTCTGTTCCTACTTTTAACATCAAGCAGGTACAACCAGTAGCACAATCTTTAAGCATTTTAATAATTGGATGGGACAAGATCCCACTTGGATTATTGAAAAGCTTGGATTGTCGGAAAAAGATAGGAAACAAAATAAATCTTTGAATAAATTCACATTAAGGTTTATTTTGGTCTTTATATATATATAATTTTAAAACATATATGAAGTTGAAATTCAAACCTTCCACATTTATAATCCTATATTTTCCTCTTTTTTGCTTTTGCTCTATTGGTATCTTATCACAAGATTGAGAAAAGTTAGCAACCCTATGTAAAATAGTAATTTGAATATTTTTATTATATGACAAAATCATGTATGGATATATCATGTGTAGCAATTGGAAGCTATAAGGAAATAGGTGACAATGGCCGACCTTTGCCGATCTTCCCCCTTTACAAATACTGATACCCCTCTGTACAGTACTTTCATATTATTAGTTCAACTTTTATGTAACACATCCATAATTTTTAAAAAAGGTTTTCATGTAAAATGTAGTGGATCTACCAGTAAAAACTTAATAATATATGGTATTTACTAAGGTTATGTTATTTTTTCGACGAGATTTCAATTTCAGTCATCTGGTTGTGACAAGTAGTCTTCCTTTCTCCCACCAAACCTCCCCTCCTCCTTCACCCATCCTTCAGAATGTTAAAATGAATAAAAATTGACTACACTGAATTATATAAGAGCAAAGTTTGCTTTATTTACAAGAAACGGTATGTTTTTTTTATTTGTTTTTTTTTTGGTGCTTTTGTATGAATTGTATGAAAAAACGAAATCCTCGACCCCTCTAACCACATTCCTTTCCTTATAGAAACTTTTTTGGTACAAGTGGTAAAGCATCTCCATTTTGTCTTCCTGTCTAACTTCATTTGATGACCTTCTTTACACCATTTCACGTTTGGAATTACCCCGGCGTTTTGAAAATATTCGATAGCCTCTTCTTCTGAAGACGGTAATTCTCAGAACGTAATAACATCCATAATTTGGCAAAGATCACATAAATGGAACAAAAATAAACAATGGAATAACTCACAGTTTACATGAGATAAGAAGAGAGGTTATGTGATGTAATATTAGATAACAAGGGAGATTTCGTCCCGCCAGGATAACAAGTACCACCTTTTGTATGATTTAGTTTTACTTAATAATGGATGGGTCGGAACAAATAAGAAATTAGTTTCCCTGGACAAATATTGTCAATTAAATTCATTAATTGTTAATGTTGAAAAGACAAAATGTGTGGTCTTTAAAAAAGGTGGTAATATAGGTAAAGTTAAACCTCTCTTCTACAACAACTTCAAAATTTAAACAATTAAACAGTACAATTATTTGGGAATTTTTTTTCATCATAGGGCTTATTTTCTTAGACAGCTGATATTTTTTGTTGAAAAATCACAGTTGGCTTCAAATAAAGTTCGAGAAATCTTGTTAAGGTCAAGATCAGATTCTGTCGATACAAAATTTAAATTGTTAAGTCCTATGGTTAATTCAGTTCTTTTATATTCAGCGGAGGTTTGGACTCCATTATACTGTCAAAATTTAGAACGCGTTGCTTGAGTAATTTTAAAGAAATTTATCATTGGCCATGCCATACTCCTAATCATTATGTATGTGTAGAAACGGGTCTAGAATCATTAGAAATAAGCGTTCTTAAAACAATGATTCGCTGGTACCGAAAAATACACCAAATGGGAGACAACCGGTTACCAAAAGTATTTTTACAAATTAAGAAAAAAAACATTCCTCTGATTATTTAATTAATGCAAAATATAATTGGTACCTACAATTGATAAATATGCTGAGAGCAATAGACTCGGTTGAATTATTAAACATTAAAAATAAAGTGAGAAGGAGTTGATCGGGGGGTGCGGTCAAATTAATATTAAATTAAACAAGTAGAATTATTTAATTTTTGCCGACGTTTCGTCCCACTTTGCAGGTCTTCATCAGGGCGTAGGATGTAGCACTGCGGAAGGCAATTGAAACACTGAATTTGACCGCACCCCCCGATCAACTCCTTCTCATATTATATCAACAGTCAACCATCTCTCCATCATTAAAAATAAAGAATTATTTGAAGGAAAATGTAAAAATGTTATTGAAAAGTTAAATGTAATAAATTTTCCCTCGATATTCAATCTATATTGAACTCAAAATGCAATCAAAACTTTAGCAAAATAAGTAGCTTCAGTAACGGTGAATGTTATCTAAAAATTACGGGGCCAATAAGAAAGCAAAGAATGGTTAGCCAACTAAAACTGTGCCAACCAGAGAACATAAAAGTTACTTCTCACAGTTTTCAAAATAGTTTTCTAGATAGGAGCACTGAATGCCCCATTTGTAATACACGTGAACCAGAAGATTTATACCATTTTTTGATGCAATGCTCTACACATGAACCTTTTAGAAGTAAATACATTGATGGTAATTCTGACGATAATGAACAAATAGTCCTTCCTCCCTTCTTACCTATTAGCAGCCATCAAAAAACTTTAAGATGACTTAAACATAATTTGTGACTGGACAGAAGCTAACAAATTGAAGTTGAATGCGGATCAGACAAAGGCAATTTTGATAGGCTCCAATCAACTCCTTAAAACAGTTCCTAAAATCATAACCCTGCTCCTACATGATAACCTATCAAATTTTATCCCACCGTTAAGAACCTTGGAATAACCTTTGATCAAACCCTTTCCTGGAAAGACTATACATCCAATATCTCCCACCATGCCTTTTTCATTTTAAAACATCTAAATTACCTCCGCCACCTATTTCCATTTGAAACCCATAAACTCCTGATCGCTTCCTTAATATTTCCCTACTTTGACTATTGCTGTACGGTATATGGGGGCGTCTCTGTGGATCTCGAGGCAAAACTAAAAGGTTTAGTAAATTGCTTTGTACGATTCATCTTCAGGATCATAAATGAATGAAGAGCTGAAGTGGCTTTATCCTTCCTACCGTTGTAAGTACTTCCTAGCTTCCGTCCTCTTCCAAGTCATCCAATCCCATCGTCTTTCATACATCTCCGAACTCCTTCAATTCAA